ATGCTTCAGTCCTCCATCTCCGCTGACGAAGGTGCACATCGTCTTCTACAGCTAAAAATCAAGCCGGGTGAGGAATATGAGGTCGCCTCAATGGTGTTGGACTGCTGTGCCCAGACGCGCTCCTACGAGACACGTTATGGCAGTCTGGCGCAGCGTCTCTGTCGTGTGATGCTCTTCTCTGGCGATAAACCTAAGCCTGGGGAGCAGAAAGCGAGTTCTGAAACGTCGTCGGAGCCCCCACGAACCTACGTGGCACAGTTCGAAAAGATTTTTGGCGAGCAGTATGCCACCATTCATCGGCTAGAAACAGCGAAGCTGAAAAATGTCGCCATGTTCTTTGCACACCTCCTCTTTACTGATGCAATCTCTTGGGGTGTGCTTGAATGTGTGAAGCTGAATGAGCGGGACACCTCATCATCAGGGAGAATATTTCTGAAGTACCTGTTCCAGGAGCTCTGCTCTTTCATGGGATTGGCAAAGTTGCAAGCGCGGTTGAGGGATGAGACCTTGCAACCCTTTTTTACTCATCTCCTACCGAGGGATAATCCGAAAGATACGCGATTCGCCATAAACTTTCTCACCACAATTGGCTTAGGTGGATTAACTATTGATTTAAGGGAACATTTACAAGCTACAAGGGCGGCTGGAGAGAAAGCAAAATTGGCTGAGGCCACAGATCTACACAGTTCAGGTTCCAGTTCATCGTCATCAAACTCTTCAGATTCTTCTTCCGACTCATCTGATTCCTCTTCCTCCTCTTCCTCGTCGTCATCGTCCTCTTCCTCGTCTTCAAGTGAAAGTGAAGATTCGCAGGCCGAAAAGTCGGGAAGGAAGATAGAAGATAGGAAGAAAAAGGTAGAGCGACGAGGATCTAGAGAGCGTCATCATCACCATCCGACACCTCCACCGAAGTCGTGCGACATGAGCAATAGGAGAGACGAAACTACCAATGGCAAGGATGATGCTGATGCCAAAAGTATGCTATTCGCGCCTGGGATAATAATTCAAGAGCTAATATGAAAAAGCAGCGATATGTTGCTTACATTTCCTCCCTCGATTCAATAGCTTGTTCGTACTGTTTAAAGACATCTCACTTACAATTTTCAGATTCAGAACTGAGAAGTGATCGTGCTAAGTCACCGAAAGATCATGCTGAAAGGCGAAGAAGGAGCACTCCTTCACCTAAGGCACTGCCACGTCGATGTGACTCTCCACACCCACCAGAAGTAAAGGAAAAGAGAGGTGGTGGCGAACGGAGAACTAGAAACACTTCCCCACCTCCCGGTCAATACTGCCGTCGTAGCCGTGCTGACTCTCCGTTGGCCTCAGCAGAGGAAAGGGAAATCCAACCAAGGTACCATAGACGAGAGCCTTCTCCCAGTGTGGATAAGCGACGTCGATATAACTCCCCATCTCCGGCATTAAAGTATCGTCAACCTTCGCCCCCCCCACCTCCACTTCTTCCTCCAGATGGCAACTCGCCTCCCAGGCGTCGAAATGCCAACCGTCCACCCTCTCCCCCCCGCCGACGAAGTCGATACGTTTCACCACCACCTTCACGCCGACACCGCGAAGACGACTTGGTTGAGGAAAGACGGGGCCAACGTCAACGCCGACATGAAGTGAGATCCGAGAAGGTGGAAGAGGAAAGGTCGCGGACTCGTAGGTCAAATGAAAGACGAAATCGATCGCCTTCAAGGGAGCGAGGCGAAAGAATGCTGCGAAATGCCTCCCCACCACCGTTGTCGTCATCGGTGCACAGTCGATCGCCGTTTAGGGGACGGAGGGGAAGGCGGTCACCTATTCCTTCCCGCTAGGTGATTACTTTTCCGCAGCCCTTATTTGTATATGTTTTGATACATACTTAGTGTTCCCTTGACCTCTTAAATGTCCACCTTAGCAGTCTGAAATGTTTGTAAGTAAAAGGTATGCTTTGTCGGTTATGATCTCTCGTGTTGGATTTGTTAAGAGGAACATGTACTGACGCCCTCGGAGTTTGAGTTGAATTGCGGTGGATATTATTTTCATGCTACGAAGGTTGTCATGCTTGAGGGTAGTGCGTTGTTTACGGTATTGTAGTGGCCTTTGGATTTTGCATAAACCTGTTCGGTCCAATGGTTCAAAAGAGGTCTAGAAGGATGACTCGAGGTAATACACACGTTGGGCGATGCACATAACCAGACTATGAAGGTGCAAAAGCTATATGAGTTCAAAGCTAAAAGGTCTTCAATTCCTCAGATGGAACTGAAACCCATCGAAGTACCCGATAAACTGTTCCCAATGCCGTTAAATCCGCATAATTTTCGTTGGGAAAAACCTGGGCGCAATTTACCGTACTCTACACCTACTCAATGGGAATTTCGCGTGCTTTGAAAAGGTTTATTGTCAGATCCAGTAGGCTGGCCGGGCAGCGTCGAAACAAGTGTTCATGTGAGA